GTATCAGTCGACTTCAACATGGCTTCTACCGCCGCCACTGCAGCCCTTTCAATCATCAAGTTCTCCGGTGGCGCCGCCGTTACCCGCACCCACGCCTCCCTCTTGCCCATTACCTCCACCGTCGGTTCTGTCTCCGCTCGTCGCCTAGGATTCTCCGCCGTCGTTGACTCCCGTTTCTCCGTCCACGTGGCCTCCAAAGTCCAATCCATGCGTGGAAAGGGAAGCAGGGGAGTGATCTCCATGGCGAAGAAGAGCGTTGGTGATCTGACTTCTGCGGATTTGAAGGGGAAGAAGGTATTCGTTAGAGCTGATCTCAATGTACCTCTCGATGACAATCAGAATATCACTGACGACACTAGAATCCGAGCTGCCATTCCCACCATCAAGTTTTTGATCGAGAAAGGAGCTAAAGTCATCCTCTCCACTCATTTGGTATGTCCCTCTCCTAACCAAGTCAAAGCTGACATCTTTCCTTGAGCTCCACGAGTTGGTACAAGAGGATCCATGGATAAATCCCCTCTTCTTTTCATTGTTTTCAATGATATATGAAATGATCCTACAAAAGCTATTACTAATTGACTAATCACTGATCTCTCCCACTTGTTTTTCTGCAACTTATGCTTTGATTCAGTAATCATCTCTATATAGTTCGATAGCCACCAATGCATCAGATTGTTTCTCTCTTGGAAACTTGAAGAAAATTGTATTTTCATCTACTTCCTGAAGGATTAAACTAAGTTAGTAAGTGGCTTTGCTCATCTTTCAGGGAAGGCCAAAGGGTGTCACCCCAAAGTTCAGTTTGGCCCCTCTTGTTCCCAGATTGTCTGAGCTCCTTGGTATTGAGGTAACCCATGATTTTTAATGGCTTGGCCTCTCTGTTGCTATGATCTTCCCGTGGGAATGTAACCTGAGGCTTTTGGGGTGAATTGCAGGTCGTGAAAGCTGATGATTGTATTGGCCCGGAAGTGGAAAGCTTGGTGGCTTCCCTTCCTGAAGGTGGAGTTTTGCTTCTTGAGAATGTCAGGTTTTACAAGGAGGAAGAGAAGAATGAACCTGAGTTTGCCAAGAAGCTTGCATCTCTAGCTGACCTCTATGTCAACGATGCTTTCGGAACTGCTCACAGAGCCCACGCTTCAACTGAAGGAGTCACAAAGTTCTTGAAGCCATCAGTTGCTGGTTTCCTTTTGCAAAAGGTGACATTTTGATAGAGATTGTTTTCTTTTAAGTGATATAGAAGCACCATTGCTACAAATGCCACTATACCCTTGTTCATGAAATAATTGATTGCTTGTTGATATTTGGTTCTCCATGAGAGGGGTCTACACACAAGGGTCAATAGTTTACTCAACTGCTGTTGGAGAAATGATTGGAGGTGTCCATTGTCTAGAATTGAGTTATGAATTAAGAATTAGGGAGGTCACTTACTTATCTGCCAAATCCTTATTACTGATTTGGAAATTCAGGTTTTCTTTTTACCAGAAGATGGTAATTGAATCTAACTAAGCCAATGTGCTTGCCTTCTCCTTTTCACAGGAGTTGGACTACCTTGTGGGTGCGGTTTCAAACCCGAAGAGACCGTTTGCTGCCATTGTGGGAGGTTCAAAGGTGTCATCCAAGATTGGAGTTATCGAGTCTCTTCTTGAGAAATGTGACATCCTTCTGCTTGGTGGTGGAATGATCTTCACATTCTACAAGGCGCAAGGTCTTTCTGTTGGCTCTTCCCTTGTTGAGGAAGACAAGCTTGAATTGGCTACATCACTCCTCGCTAAGGCTAAGGAAAGAGGAGTCTCTCTGTTGTTACCAACAGATGTTGTGATTGCTGACAAGTTTGCTCCCGATGCCAACAGCAAGGTCCGTCTCCCTCCTCCATTGATTATTCCTAAAAGCTTGGCAATCTTGGTTGGTGACCGAATAATAAACAACGAAAAATGGTTTGTTTTGTAGATTGTGCCGGCATCAGCCATTCCTGATGGGTGGATGGGATTGGACATCGGTCCAGACTCGGTGAAAACTTTCAACGAAGCTCTGGACACCACACAGACAGTGATTTGGAACGGACCAATGGGAGTGTTTGAGTTTGAAAAGTTTGCACAAGGAACAGAGGTAAGCACATAGAATTCTGACTTCTGAGTCTCATTGATGGGTCTGTGAGAACTAAGATGTTGAAATGGTGCAGGCAGTTGCGAATAAACTAGCAGAGCTAAGCAAAAAGGGAGTGACAACGATCATAGGAGGAGGAGACTCGGTGGCTGCAGTGGAGAAAGTGGGAGTAGCAGGAGTGATGAGTCACATCTCGACGGGTGGTGGGGCGAGCTTGGAGCTCTTGGAAGGCAAAGTACTTCCCGGTGTGGTCGCTCTTGATGAAGCAACGCCAGTCACCGTTTAACAAAGAGCTCT